TTTCTCCATTCATTGTGTTCTCAGGATATGTGCATTGTAATTATTACAGTGTAACTAACAATTCTAATTGCAATATAAAATATTTCTGAAAATCAAGATAAAGAGTAAACCAGTGAGATATGTCAGACTAGTGATTGACTCCTTGGTGATCAACCACTTGTGTAGCCATCTAATATGTTTATGCAGTAAAGAAACTAAATTCACCATAGGCATGGCATATGTGAAAAAAGTATCATAAGAGCACTGTGTTAATACAATGTATTGCATGTTCATGGAATTCACAGACAAATACATATATACATAAATATATATTAAATATATATATACATGTATTGTATATACGCATATATATATATATATATATATATATATATATATATATATATATTATATTATATATATATATATATATATATATATATATATATATATATATATAAGCATATGCATATGTCTGTGTGTATAATATATATAGTAAAATTTTCTGTAAAGCAGCAAAAAATGAAAAAATATCAGCCATGTCAAAAAAAAAAAAAAAAAAAAAAAAAAAAAAAAAAAAAAAAAATATATATATATATATATATATATATATATATATATATATATATATATATATATATATATATATATATATATAATAAATAAATAAACAAATAAATAAATAAATAAAATGGATATTTACTACACTCCATTCCTAAAAACTTGCTATGGCACTTAAAAAAAAATCAATTTCCCAATAAAAACATCATTTTCAAAATGGAGAAATTATAGATTGAATATGTAGAAATACATATGTCAGAGTAATGCCTTTTGATTACATGTTTATATGCATAAATGTAAATGTATCTCTGATGTATTTGTCTGTGCAATGATGATTTTTTATACAAGGATATCTCATGATTGTTAATTATTGGGGATACTTAGAAAAAAAATAATGCAGAGGAAAAATATAGTAGGAAGGGGTAGAGGTGCACGGAAAACAAAAAGCAGATATCTAAACTGTTTTTTTTTTTTTTTTTTTTTAATCCAAAATTATGTACCATAAATACATTACTATCACACCCTTGACAAATGCATGTTATGAGAAAGTAATAATCATGTTATGTCTAAAACATCTTTTGGTTCTAAACCAGGAAGTAGCATACATTACTTTCTTCTTTCTTTATTTTTTTCACCTTTATATCATGATAAATAATTTGGGTTGGGAAACCAACATTATAGGAAATTACATTTGGGCTACTCTGACTAATCTTAATTAGTAATCCAGATTTAAAATGGACTATGCAAACAGTCTAGGTATCCTTCAATTAAAGGAAACATTTCCTTTTTTCCCCCTTTCTTTTCTAAACAATGCATATGCACCATCGTCATACCCTGGGCATATTATTAAGATGGGAGATATAATCAAAACCAGTTAGTTATATCACTTGCTCTGCAAAGATATTAATTCTCATTTACAAATTTTCTACTTTTGTTGTCATGAACACTGTAGTATTGCAATATCAGGTGTCGGTGAATAAATACAATTATATTTCCTTTAAGATTGTAGATGCATTACCGACATATTCCAAGCATACTTATATGATGGTACAGTCACAATAACATATCTGACACATTTTGTAGACTTAACAATAGGAAGTTGCATATATTTCCCTATCTTATACATATATATTTTTTATTCTCCCCTTTATATAATAAGTAATTGAAATTAGAAATATATATTATGAAATAATTACTCTTGACAGTTTTCAAGTAATATCATATGAGAAGATTTTACTTTCACTTATTTTTAATCTTATTCAGCTATACCAGGAGAGTGCAAGAAGCACACAATAAACCTAAACAGGATATACAACCTATTTACATTGGTCCTGAAACTGTACAGACTCACATTCAACCATATCTTTGGGCAAGTCAATCCCTAATCTTCATAAACCATTTCTTGAAATGAACTGTCAGGGAAAGTCAAACAACCAATAACTCACCAAGAGCATGGACTGCCATTCTTGTCCCTTTACAAAGACATGACTGATTCTTGCCTTCTGGGACTAAGACTCAGGAGATGAGGATACCTGCACAGCTCCCCTACCAATCTGGATATTCTGCTTGATAGCAAGCAGCATATCAACCCGATGGAGGTGAACAGTACACTAGCAATATAAACAATCTTGCAGAAACAACTGGACCTTTAAAAATCCACTAGGATTTTCAGAGGCTTCTAACTTCCTCCTTGCAACAGCCAGCTAGTGTCTAACGTGTGCCTCAAATGTCAAATTTGCATCAATCTTTACACTCAATCTTCAGCACATTAACATCCTCCATCACATGTTCATCAACAAGAGACTAGGATGAAACAGAAAAACGCTCCTTGATCAACCAAGTCACTGCTTTTTCAGCAGCATATCCCACTGTCTTCAATACCTGCCAACATTTGCAAGACCACTGTTGACTGAGGCATCATCATCATCTATCCAGACTATTCAGCATAACTAAAAAGACTGGACTAACAACAATATCAACCCAAAGCTGTGATGGCAAGGATACCCATTATGTTCATTGTGTCATTTTGTTTATTGTCTTTTCAGATAGATAGCACAACAAGTGCTTAATCACAAAGGAGTCAATTACTACTCTTACCTATCTCTCCTGTTTATGCTTATTTTTTGTTTTATGCACCAGAATGCATGACTTTTGATATAATTTTTAAAAGAATACAAAATTTTGTTTACCTTCCCTTTAAATGCTATTGCTCAAATTTTACCATAGAGATGATGCCACTACTATTGGAGAGAAACAAGCCCTGTCCCATGAGCTTTGTCCATAACAGCCATGGCATTTATGTACATGCCACCCGGTAGCACATTGTTACAGGCAATAACATTCATATTCCAAATTGTTTAGATGCATATCTCCCAAACCAGTTAATCTAATTTATTTTTACTTGGAAGATTAAACTGTATAAGGAATTGCGGACCTATGATTTTTTTTTTTTTTTTTTTGTGCATTAGGGGGTTGATTAAGTTACCCTATGCAGCAACATCTAGGTCAAATGATCATACTGTTTTATTACAACAATGTAGATGGATCCAATAACAGTAAAATCAATATGAATATCAAATTTAAAACAATATACAAAATAAAAAATAAAACATTTTTGTATACATGTCAATGACAAGTAGGCAAATGCGAAGCAGTCAAAAGAAAATTAAGATAGAGATATCAAGCAACAATTGAATTAAGAAAAGAATTAACAAAACAAAAAAAACAAAAACAAAAAAAAACAACCACTACTAGGAACACCTTGTAAAAAGAAATGCTACATACAAAAAAATAAAAAAGAAGAAAAGGCAGCAGAACTCTACTCGTACAAGCAAAAGGGAGTAAGAAGATAGATTGCAGAAGATTTAGTGAAAAAAGAGACGTGACACTCCAAAGACGAAGAGAGAACGTTCCTAGAAACGAGTAGAACAATGCAGAGAAGAAAAGAAGAAGAGAAAACATCCACAGATCATGAAAAGAAATATGTGAGAGAACAGAAGATCCAGTAAAGAGGGAGAGATCTAAGAAATAAGAGAAGAGGGAAAAATGAGAATGGAACATCTAAAGAAGAAGCAAAGTGGGACAAGTTACGATGACAGTAATAATTGTCACAAAATAAAATATTTCCAAAATTTTACTCCCTTGGCTATGTATCTTGAAGCACAGCATCCCTAAACTAATACAAAATATTCACACATAAATAGATAAATCAATTCAAAAAAACAAATAACTGAAATTACTTGCTTATATCATTCAAATTCAAAGCAAGCTTTATACTAATATAAATATAATGATAGAAAGACGAGATCCGCAATATGCTTAAAGGATGTAAAGCAGAGATACAGTAACATTTTCATACACTCATGCACCAAAGCCAAAATCCTTACCTGGGCTTTCCTTGCTCTTCCACTGCTAACTTTGGGAGACTAGCATGAAAGCAACACAAAAGACAGTGTTATATGATTTCCCAATTAATTGTTGCATGCACTCATGTCAACACAAAGCAATGGTGTAGATTTTTTGTTAATGTCAAAGATATGGGAAAATATTAATTGATAAGGTGAGAGTTCAAAAGTCCTTGAAAAAAAGAAAAGGAACCAAAGAAAATGAGCCATTTTTTGCATGCATTAGTGTCCCACCCCTTATAATCTACTGATTTTATGTTATATCTGAGAGTATATAACTGATTTGAGAAACCATCAGGTAATCTATTTCTGGAAAGATTAAACTGAATCTAAATTTGCTTATAATTAAAAAAATACATGGATTCATTTTATTTTATGTTCTTCATACACATCAAACAATAATCCTCTTTAGTTCATTTCAGCCTTACTTCCCTTACTGTTCACAGACTAAGGCTACTAGACAGAGAAGAGATAGGTCCTAGAGGAGAATAAAGGTTAGTAAAAATGAATAACCTTGAGATTTAACCCCAAATCCTTTCATTGTTCAAGGTGAAGGAAAACTGTGGACATCAAACAGCCATAAGAAGAAAAGCTGAGTATGTTGCCACACACTTTGGCCTGCCATCACATTATACCCATTTCATTCACAGACAAAACAAGAAGTCTGAGGTAAAGCTCCACATCCAAGACCTACAAGACCAGGCTGGCAATAGGAAAAGGCCTTACCTTGGAGGTGTCTGACGCTGAGTTGGCCAGTGCTCCTGCCTCCTCTTTCATGATGTAGTGGTGGATAATACGTGACTTCTTCTTGAGCTCTGAGACCAGCTGTGCTACATGCTCTTCAAGGAACTCAATCTTCTCTGCCTTTTTGGCTGCCGACTTCTGCAGTTTAATGATGCGGTCGACCAGGAGCTGCTGTGTCACTAAGGGGTCGTTGAGTGAAGGAAGGTTTTCCTGAGGTTTGGAATGCAGGCAGTTAGGCAATCAGTATCAACTGCCTGTCTTTTTTTCTTTTTCTTTCTTTTTTTACAATACATATGATTATGGTGTATTAATGTATGTTTTTTTTTCGTTACTATAACATAAAAAATAATAGTGATAAATAAATAAAGAAAAATATAAGCACAGAAGCGTTATCCACCAGGAACATGTAAAGCCCATTGTAGCTTTGTTTTGAGAATCATGTTTACAGACAGATGGGCAGCTTCATAAGTGCCAAAGAGTCAATTAGTAGGCCCATGTGACCTCAGGTGATTTCTCCTTATTAATATTACTGATACTGTGGTTACCATATAGTGTCAAGAATACAAATAGCATTAAAACAAAAAAATATATATTATTGAAAATAGAGGAAAACAGGTGAGATAGGTGGGACTAGAAATTAACTTATGGGTGACTAAACATTTGAGGATTCAGCTGTGTTAACACAATAAATAAACCAAAATTATAATGGACATGACATCTGTCCACTGCCATGGATAAAAAAAATATAACCCACCTGAGACTGTGGACTGCTCCCATTGGTGCTCTGATATTCAATGTTATTCAAGGAGGCATTGGAGGAGGCTCGTGACCCCTGGGACAGGGTATCGTGTGGTGTCACAGACTGCGAAGACCTCCCACTTGCTACCCCACCATTGCCACCCCCTCCATTTCCATTTCCACTCCCATTTCCGCTCTCATGGAGTTCCAGACGTTTGCGTAGTTTCTGCATCTCTCGAGAGATGTCCTATTGCAAAAAAGAGGAATAGATAGGTAAGGATAATAGTAATATGATAGTACTACCAACAAAATAATAATCATTTTAAGGTACAGACACTTAAGAATCATAAATCTCTAGCTGACAATATTGAATCCTTTACTGTAATAAAAATAAATAATAAATTAATGAGATAGGAAGTATAATCATAATACAAATAATAATAACAATAATACTAATGATTATTATTAATGGATTTTCTTAATAACATTAACATCTATGCAACCTATTCCCAGGCTGATGTTTCATGTTATTGTGTTTTAGCTTTACACTTTTTTCCCCCTACATTCCAGATGACATGACTATCACACCATGAAAAAATTTAGCTTGAGGGGCAGTGATGTAAACATGCCATCATGGAAAAAATGGCAGAAGGCTGGGGTGACACAAACTTGCCTTCATGAAAATTTTGGAAGAAAGCTGGGGTGACGGGAATGATTTGCCATAAGTGCACAAAGCTCTTGGAGAGTAATTAGACTTTGTGGGTATTTAGGAAAGGGCTAATTGCATTATATCCATTGTCAGCCCTGACTGAAAGAGAGCTGGCTCCAGGGAGGACTTTATATCCATGTTCAGGATCCTAATCCTGCCCGCCATGACCGGCAGTGTAGGCTGTGTTACAGAAAATTGAATATTGGGAAAAAAAAAGAAAATAAACAAGAAAAATCTACTTATTGTTATTATCATTTCAGTGAGTCATGGAATACCTACAGTCTAAATGGAGTCTGTGCAAGGGAAATAGTATAAACCATCTCGATAAAGCAAATCAATTGTCAAATATAGATGTTGGAAACTTACAAAAAAACTAAAAATCCTTATGCAAAAAAAGAAAAAATAACATGGCGTCTTGTCACCACATGAGCGTTTGTGTGCAACTGGCCTACAAGCCAATCCCTCCCACATAAATAGATAAATATTTATGTGTGAGAGATGGCCCCTCAAGAGTGGCCCCTCCAATAAGACTAATGCCCATATTTTAGACCATGTACTGGCAGCAAATCACCCAAATCCAAGAGGATTATAGGACCTTTACTCACTGGTCTCACTTACTTTCAGGGAATTATTGTGCTTTTTCTTCAAGACCTGAATTTCATTCTCCAAGTCTGATGCCTTGGTCGTTAGCTGCTTCATCTCCTCTATCTTCTCTGCAAGCTGCCGCGTTAATTCTTCTATCTGTGGAAAGTACAATAAGGGTAGATTTTGAAACAAGAAAGGACAGCAAAACCAAACAATAATATGGTCATCACAAATGCATAAAACAAATATACAAAGTGTGAATCATCCTTGGAAGTCTCACTTGAGCATTCTGCATTTCATTTTCTTTGGTGAGATCGGCCTTGATCTTGTTCCTCTGGGCCTTGATATTCTCCAATTCTGACTTCAACTCCCCATGTTCAAGCTCCAAAAGCTGAGTCTGAGGGAGAAAACAATTTGCAGTGTTGAATATGCACATGTATATTTGCAGCTCATGTATGTAGGCTACTGTATGAACATACAGATGGAAATTCATATAAATGAATATGTAAATATGTATACAAATATTCAAATGTATATAAATATTCAACTCAAGCAAATTCAAGCTGTCATCGTACCTTAGATTGTAGGGCAGAGAGCTGACTCTGGATTTGTACATTCTTGTCAGTGAGTTTCTGAGTGAAGGCTAATAGTTCAGCCTCCTTCTGGCGACAGGTGAGTAGGTCGCTCTCTAGCTCGTTGTTGGTTGTTTGGAGTCTTTCATTCTCTTGTGTTGCTGAGGCTAACTGCTCTCGTTCTCTGTCAGAATTACCCATGAGCTTTTAATGGCATTCAATTTAGCTTACATCACTTTTTTTTTTAATCATTAGATACACCTTCATAAAAAAGGATGATAATAATAATTTTCCAAAGATGGGCCAAATCAGGTGATAGCCTAAAATGCCAAATTTATATATCACACTCTCATTCTTCCTTTGTCTCTCTCTACTTTCTCCATTCTTCCTTCTTTACTCTCCACTCTCTTTACCTCTTATTAGTCTTTGTTTATCTTGATTCACTTTCTATTCCTTTCGAATCATTCTCTTCCTCCCTTCTGAGTCTCTCTTCTTTCTTTCTTTCTTTCCTTAACCATCCCCCTGTTCTCATACAAAAAAATAAAAAATAAATAAATAAATAAGGAATAAAGAAGAAGAGAATTCTGACTCCCTCCCACCTTTGTAGCTGCTGCTGAAGATGCGCTGAGTTAGAGAGCTGGAGGTTGAGGTCTCCTGCCTCCTGACGTGCGTTTTTCACTTCTTGCCTAAGGCTTGTGAATAACTTCTCGCTCTCTTCTCTTTCTGACTCATATGTCGTTACCTATTAAAACAGAGCATGAGGAAACAAGACATAAATGAATCAAAATAAAAAATGAGAATGAAGCCTCAAAGGTTGGTAAACGTGTTCAAATTTTCTTTTTAGATTTGGTTGCACAGATCTTTAAAAACAAATAACCAAAAGCTTTCCATTACCTAAAGCAAGGAAACTGAATAAGCAAAAAATTCTAATTTATACACAATGTTTTTATGAAAATGACACCAGAAAACTAATGCAACACAACACTGGTAACTGACAAACCTTTGATCTTAAGGAAGTTGCTTCCTCAACTAGTGCTGAATGTTTTGTTTTCAGTGATTCTAATTCCGCTGAAACCTTGTTGAAGGCTGACCCTCTGTCCTCAAAGACCTGTCGTTCCATGATGAGTCGTGCTTTCTCTTCCTTTAATTGCTTGTCTGGATAATGTGGATTGGAGAATCTTAAATATCTATACAGTTATGTTTAATGATTTTAGGTTGTATGTGATCTATGATTCAAATTTACTCAATCCTAAATATATGTACACACCAATTCTTAACCCACTCATTGGAGATGGCATATACTCATACTATGCCTAAGTTTGGCCCAATTAGCATGGCACACAGTAGCATTACAGTTAAATTCAGCTCCATTGCACAGTAAGTTTGTTTTACAAAGCAAATTCATTGCTACCCATATCCACAATGAGACAATATGGTGATATAGTAGGGAAAAGTTTGCAACTCTTATTTTTTTTTTTTTTTTTATGAAAGAAGTGGGAAAGAGCAAACAAACAAATCAATGTGGATAAAACATCAAACTAACTAGCATGGCTTGTGTAAACAACCAATGCATAATAACATCTTTTGGACCAGCTGTCTACAAATTCAATCACTTTTGACATGGTCCTTTCGAACATCTGAATAAGTCACTCTATGAAATCTACCATCAAAAACAGAAATACAACAATTAATCCCCAACAAGAAGTAACAAGGATGCTACCTAGGACATTTGCTCTGGAGTTTTCATCATCTCTGGTGCTGCGAACAACCTTTTCTGCCTCCTCCTTAATTGACTTGAGCTCTTCCTCGTGTTTTGTAATTTTAGTAAGAGCTCGGTCCAACTTGGCTTGTGTTTCCTGGTTTGGAGAAGAGGAGTTCTTTTACATGTGGGTAAATTTCAATGCTAGGTCTCCAAAAAAGAAGAATGAATTCATGATGTCTATCAGATATGAATATTGATTTGAGAGCTGGAAAATGTTTTCCTGCAATCACACGAAACACACAGAATTCACAGAATAGCTTGCTTCAAATGGAAAAATTTAACTAAAGCAGAAAATTGGACAAAGAGCAGTAATTTTCATTTACAATTTGTTAAAAATACTATAATCATTTATGGTAATGATTTGCAGTGAGACTGGCCAAGGCAATATTCAAGCATTCAAAGTGAAAATAAGCATGATAAGAGAAATGGATTGTTGTACAATTTGCAAACTGCAAAGAAATTCCCTGGCCCTTCATGTAGCTACTATTCTAGGGAAGGATTGGTGGCATAATATCGCATAATATCACTGCCCTATATCTGCCATTCAAGGGCAAGCCATTTTCCTAAATCAAATCAGATTTTACCAGACTTCTAAAAGGCCAATTGATCTTCATTAGTTAACCATTGTTAGTATAAAGTAGCATACCTTATGGGCATCCATTTCCGATTTTAGTTTGGTCTGGGCCCACTTAATCTTCACTTCCCGACTACTGACTTCTTCTTTCAGCCTATCAACTTCACGCTGAAAGGAGTTGATCTTCTGGACCTATGAGTGAGAGAATCAAAAGAATAGCATCTGAAATACAAATGACACTGAGGAAAAAACAAAGGAATAATTTGGAACTTTTATATAATATCTCATAAAGGAAGATGAAAACAAAGAATAATAAAAAAAAAAAAAAAAAAAAAAAAAAAATCTATAATAGGGAATCAAAAAAGAAAAGAGGGAAAAAATTAAATGAGTTACATACTGAACTTGGGGAATGGCAAATAAACACTGGCCTCTATATAAACATACAGGCCTATTCACATATACACACTTAGTTCTCAATATGATCACCTTTGTATCGAGCGTCTGGCAGATCCGTGCTCTTTCGCCAATCAGCATTTTGTTCTTACTCAGTAGCTGTTCTCTTTCCTTTTCCATCTCCTTCATTTTCTTTTCCACTGCCTCCTTCTGCTGTCTGGCAACAATAACCTGCAGAAATACATAGAAATTATATCATTAAGAAGTAAGCATCTAAAACAAACCAGAAACTTATTGACTTTAAATAATCAAAACAAAAATGAACATATTGCATCACCCAGGACCAGCATAAATTGGACTGACATCCTTATTGGATAGCTGGTATCAATATAATCTAAAGGACTGCAATTAACCCAGTCCACCTGGATGGCAAGAATGCATGCTATGCCTACAGTGATATAAGTTCATTAATGTCTTTACACATAGATGGCTCTAAAAGTGTTAAGTCACTAAGGAGTCAGCTATTATTATCACCAAGGACTCTTTGGTGGTTGAGTGCATGTGGAGCCATTTGTATGTAACAAAATTTAAAAAAAATACAGGAGACTACATAAACGTGCAATCATTAGGGTTAAGACTATCCCACACTGTATATAAAAAACCTGAACACTTCTATGGCAACTAAGAATGTGGAAATCGATGCATAAGGAACCAAATATAAACCTGTTGGTACAAAAAAAACACTATAAACCAATATATTTACCAAATACATTTGTTTGGCATTTAGAGGGTTTTGCTACCCTTATATCAACAATAAGAGTGTTCTGTCATTCATGAAAGTGATGAAACAAAATAAATTCCTAGAGAACTTTCCTGTATCATGTGATAAGCAAGAGCATCTCCTTGTAAAGTTCCTCTTGTTTAACATGGAAAGGACAGAAAGGTCTAACTTGTTTTATATTTTTCATATTCAATGGAAAAATATGTAGCCCATATAAATACAGTCACCTTTAACCAACTCACAATGGAAAACATTCTATCCCATTATGGCTAAACCATCGTTCAATCTTGAGTGAAAAAAAATAGAAGTGCAGAAAATATAGACACCTCACTCTCTATGCTTTTGGCAGTGGCATACATGATATTTAGGATATGAGGTCATACAGGGATCCTAAGCCTAATTTTGATGGGCTGTATCTCCTCAATACCCAGTCATAGCCAAACAAGCAAACAATTGTTTAGTGTGTAAAAAACTGAGCAGGCTTAACCACTCATGGAATGGGTACTTGTCAACTGGAATTTGGGCCCAGTTAGCCATAATGTGATTACACATCATCTAGCAGTTATAAAAATCTTAGGCAAGATCCTTTTTTGTGTACAACAGCAGCAGTACCTAAAATTTTGTTCATCAATTTCAAAAGAAAGCAAGAAAGAAAAAAAGAAAAACTGTTCCAATTAACCCCAGAGTCAACAATAATAGGTTATAAAACTATATATCAGTGTATCTTCTTCCTCGCTCATCTCTGCTCTGCCAACAAAGGATCTTATGTGGCACAGAGATTTCAACTTTATCAATTCCTAGTGAACAAAAAGTAGCTAACTTTTCATCAGAACAGATAACAAACTTTGAAAAGTTTACTGTCAGTTTTCATATTGCTGACATTAATTTCTTAGCCTAGAAGTTTTAGCTGAGCCAGCTAGTGGGCTGATTTTTTGCATCCTCTACTTCCAGCTCACCAATACAAACCTCTCTCTCTGAAGTGGCATATTTAATGACCATAGACTCCTTGTCCTTGTTGGCAGCCTCATACTGCTTAGTCATTCGCTCTAACCGGGCAGTGAGATCTGTGCGGACCTTGATGTTTTCTGCAAGGTAGTTCTCCTCAGCTTCCTTCAGTCGCTGCTGCCAGCTGCATGCATCTGCCTGAGCCTGTGTATGCACAATCACTGTGTTAAAAAAAAAAGAAAATTCGAACTAAAGCAAAATAATAAACTCATCAATACAATTCTGATCTAGAGTAAACTCATACACTTAATAATTTTGTCAATAATTCTCCTATCTCCTACCATGATTAAGAACCCTAAGTCATCTCAACTTTTTTTATACTGGACACAGACTACTGTATCTAGCTATAGTTTTTCACCTGTGCAAGTGTCTTCTCCAGAGTTTCAATCTGCTTAGTGTATACAACTGCCGACTGATCAGCTTCCAGCCTGTCAACTTCCCCTTCTAATCTGGAAAGGGACAGAGTAAGGTTACAATAGACAGAGAGAACTATAAGATATATGTATACATACATATACAATTCTTTGACAATGAAATGGCATGTATGTACACACTTACATATTACATTCAACAACTATGAACATTAAACAATGTTATATGATGCCCACCAATTGAATTCCAATGATACAAGAGTACACCCTACACACTTCCAATTAGGTTTTAGCATTCTGGATTGCACCAGGGTCTTAAACCATAGCCCTTGTACTCATTCCAAATTGAAGCAAAAACTTGGGATTCTCCTATAATGTCTCATCATAAAGCTGCCTGGTATTATTCCTGCTAAAGATGCTTTCATGTATACCATAACACTTGGGATTGTTCAAGGATTAGTTAGACAAATTTTGGTTCCTGATATCAAAGCTCTAAAAGCTATTGCAAATGGTGACAAATGACTATAAATAGGTAAATACAACATGTATGCAGCTATAAAAATATATCTTTATGACATAAAATAATAAGATATATATTAAGATATATATGAACAGTAAAATGACAAAGATACACCACAAAGTAACTTCTTACAATGGCAATATATCTAATGCTATACCAGGTACTGCACCATACTTCACATCCTAATACAGCAATGAGGAGCTACAGCATGTTACTCTTCTTGTGACAGATTGTTTTCATTAACTGTTTACTATTTTGGCATTATATTGATATGACTAAAAAATAGTATAAGCTTCCCCTTTGTTCTTTTACTATCTTGGTACACTTCAATCGTGGTTCAACTGGTCTTGTGTACATGCAGGTCTGGCCATTAGCGCGACTATCAGGGCAGAATCAGTCACTTTTGTGCAAAATCTGGGGGCTGAGGGGAGCCAGCGATAACAAGATACAGATCGTTCTTTTTCCTCAGGTACCTCCAGGCTTTCCAGGGGGCAATATTGAATTATTGTCTATAATTCGCTTCAAGAAATTATCAATACCTATAAAGTCAACAAAAGTTATATCAGAGATTTTACATAAAACATTTAGTATTAATAATCACAAAATTCCTTTTTTATTACCAAAAACAAATAAACAAGAAATGGCTAATTTGAAACTGTGGATCTACACTCATGCCAATGGCCAATCAGACTTGCGTTATGAATTTTGTATCTGATTTATCAGTTTCTGTGTTTCTTTCTTTAAAAAATATATGGCATAATACACAAAACTATGGTGAAACAGGGAATAAGTCCTTGTGCTATATGTTGCTCCAACAAAAAGTGTTATTCAAGCAAGAGGCATGTGCAGTCTATTATGGTAGTGCTTTTTGCAGTTGAAACACTAAGCCTGGCTGGGTACTTGGAAACAAGCCAGGCCCTAGATGTACACAAGACCAGTTGAACCGTGCCCTTATACAAGCAATATAAGACCCAAAGGTAGCATATCCCTCACTGCTAAATAAACCCACTGTTGAAAGTCACACACCATTTCGAAGCCAGGTAGTTCCTATCCCTCACAGTCTGCTACACTCTCACACAACCTGGTTGACCATCAAACCCACCATAATCTACTTAAAAATGCTTGCCCAGCTGAACCTAAACAGTGAATCCTGTTGCAACATTGAGGAAGCTATGAATCAGTAATCCTACTTAGCACCATATGATATGAGACTACATTACATAAAGACTACTGTAACAATAATGATCATAATAATAATAATATCAATAACAATGATCCTAATACTGATAGACTAATAACGATAATAACAATTATTATTACAATAATCATTATAACAATAATTATTATTACAAATAATAATAAAAAATAAGAAAATGTCAGCAACATAACAGTAACATAAAAATAATACTAACAGCAACAATGCTAAGTTAAAGCTAATGCCAATGTCAAAAACAAAAACAAAAAATCAATACTTAAAATGATAATAATAATAATAATAACAAAAATTAACATAACAAGAACAAGAACAACAACAATAATAATAATAATAATAATAGACTATACTAATAATAATTGCTAATCAAACAACAACAAAAACAATATCAATAATATTAACAAAGCAATAACAATAAAAACTAAAGTAATAATAATAAAAACAATAACAATAAAAATCAGAGTAATAATAATAATAATAATAACAATCTAATAATGAGGGTGATGATGATGATGATGATGATGATGATGATGATGATGATAATAACAACAATAATTCATAACTCATGCTCATAACTTTTGAGTTATCCTCCTAACCATCCTGAATGCAGATCAAGATCCGGATCACTGCCAAAATTTAATGGCAACTGAATTAGGCTAAGACAAATCTGTTCATAATTTTTTAAGTTATCCTGCTATCCAACTAACCAATGCTACCTAAAAAATAATCTCCTTCGCAGAGGTGGTGGTGGTGGTGGTGGTGATGATGATGATGATGATGATGATGATGATGATGATGATGATGATGATGATGATGATAGATTATCAATAATAACATTAACATCAATATTGATAGATGTATGATAACAACAACAACAATAACAATAACAATAACAACAATAATGATAACAATAATAATAATAATAGTAATGATAATACTAATACTAACAATAATGATAGCTAATAATCATAATAATAATAATAATAGGAATAACAATAATAATAACAATAATAATAATAATAAAATAAAAAATGACAATAGCTGATAATGATAATAATAATATTAATAATAATAATAATAATAATAATAATAATAATAATAATAATAGTCTAATAACAATGATAATGAATCAATAATAATAACAACAGAAACAGCTAAACTATTTTCAGTAATAATTATCATCATTATCATAATTATCATAATAATATACTAGTATCATTACCATTATTAGAATATTATCATTAGCATCATTATCACTGTAATCATAATAATAATTATCAACAATATCATTCTCAATATCATCATTTTCATTATTATTATAACAGTATCAGTATCATCATTACCATTAATATTATTATCATTATTATCATTAATATCATCATTATTGATTATCATTACCATTATCCTAATTATCATTATCAACATTACAATTATCTTCATTATTAACGATCATTAGTCTCACAATATCCTCATTATCATATTATTATTTTTACTATCATTATTATCATTATCATTCCTACTATTATTAACATTAATAATAATATCATTATTATCAACATCATTATCATTAGTCTAGGAGCTTTATTGTTGTTACTATTATTACTATCATTATCATAATACTACTGCTACTACTACTACTAATAATAAAAATGATAATAATAATAACAATTACTATCATTATCAAGTTCAAATTAATATTTTCATTATCATTATCATAACTATCATATCATCATCATCATCATCATCATCATTATAATTATCATTCTCATCATCATTCTTCTCATTATCTTTATCATCATTATCATTATTATTATTATTATTATTATTATTATTACTATCATTGCTATTATCATTATTTTACAGTTATCATCATTATTCATATTACTATTATCATTACTATTATTACTGATACTATTGTTATCAGTATCAATATAAAAATAATAATAACAATAACAATAATAATAACCATAAGCTAACAATAATAATATCAACACCATAACTAATACTAATACTTCTAACAATGATGATGATAATGATGACAATAGTGGTGGTGGAAGATGGTAATAATGATAATAACAATCATGGTAATAATAACAATAATGGTAATAATAGTAACAATAACATTAGCCAATAATCATAATTGAAAAACATAAAAAGAAACAACAATGATGATAATGATGATGTCAACAATAACACTGACTACTGCAAAGATGTTTGTGATATCTGAAGTAGCTCATAATAAATATGTTGATAATGATGGCTGTATTAAAGTTGATTGTAATAATGACTATGAAGATGGCAATGAAAAATCAAATAGACTACAACAAAAAATATGTCAACTCAATAAGCCTAGTTGTTACTTTATCAAAAGCTACCTCTGTTATCAACATCACTTCCCATAAACTTTGCCTTTTATTTGTCTTGCTGAATAAAACTGATAAAAAATATCTATAATATTTCTATGGTTGTAAAATATTTGGGGACAACAAAGCTATAAAAATATGTTACTTTGTACATATTCTTTATTTTTCCAATATATATCAATACAAGAAAAACAAAGAAGCAAAGTTATATTTGGCCTAAATGTCATGTAAGCAGGATATGTAAGAACAAAAGCCCTTTGAAACTATGACATTAGTCAGCAGAAAGTAAAATCTTCTAAAGATATTTCAGCTACAGTATCTCGTCACACAAAAGAAAGCTTATTACACATGTACTTCATGAATCGTAACTAGATATTAAAATGCCTTACCTCGTCTTCTCCTTCTTTAAGGTGTCACACTCATCTAGGAGACTCGAGATCATTTTCATCAGGTTCTCTTTGGATGTTGAAGAGACATCAATTTTGCTGACCTCAAAGCCCGAGTCAGGACTGCAGGCAGTCGTAGTCAAGAGGTCCTCAATTTCTGTTAAAAGGCTGGAATTCTTTATCTCTTGAGGTAGCAAGTGTAATGGAGGCAACTTTTCATCACTGTTTAATGACTCTAATGATTTATTTTCTTCCGTAGTTTCTGCTTCACTGCTGACATCTTTGATATTGTCACTGGTACACTGTAACACATCAACTTGTTCCTCCCCATCTGTGGACTCATCCTCATCTTTATTGTAAGTAAATTCCACAACACTCTCATCCCTCAGGAAACTCTCTGACAGAAGATTGGTGTCTTTCTCTTCAATATCTAATCTCTCTTTCTTACTGACATCTGTTCTGGCAGGAGCTCCTAATAATGTTTCAACCTGCCTCTCATTCATACAACTATTTTCATCATTGCAGACACCACTAGCTTCATTATTCATTGCACAAAAAGAATCATTTTGTTCTGCAGTCACCCTATTACACTTATCAACAACATCTTCAGATACATTATCACTTGGGCTTCCATCTATACTATCGTTTAGTACACCAATATTAACATCGCATTTAATTGGAGACACCTCTCTCTCTCTGCTACAGGATGTGTCATTTTGTTCTGATGACTCTGTGCTGCGGTTCTTAACGCAGCCTTTGTCCTCTTCTCCATCTATATAGTCTGAAGCTTTCTGCTCTGACTTTAGCTCATCCATGATTAAAGCTTGATACCTTCAGTCATACAGATTGGTGTTGATCACCTGTAATGAGAACAAACAATTAACAAAAGTAGTAATATTTCAATGAACATTTCCTTATCATTTAAACTTTACTCTACAAATGCCTCCAAAATTTACATCAGTTTTCATATAGAATTCAGAGGATGTTGCTGGCCCACCCAATATCCAAATACCCCTCCAAGCCAGTGCTTCTGCTTAAGGCGGTTGATCACCCAGGGCACCCAAGACTAACCTGGCACCTGCTGGATACACATGATTAGAAAATGGAAAACTCTGCTCATTGCAAAGGCGTTGTGTAGGCATCTTCACACACATGAGATTAATATTATTCTTATTGATATTGAAATGTATTCAAATGTACAATAAACCAAGTCCAGTACAATCAGATATCTGCAATGAAAAACACAATACCGTGTTGATAATATGGAAGAAAAACCCACAATGCACAAACTAGATTTATTGAGGAAAGTGAGACAACAGTTTCGGAATCGTCCTCCGACCCGAAGATGGAATCGAGGACGATTCCGAAACTGTTGTCTCACTTTCCTCAATAAATCTAGTTTGTGCATTGTGGGTTTTTCTTCCAATCAGATATCTGTAAATGCCTAGATCACATCAAACTGAAAAATCAATGCATTGTCATTTTTCATGAAATTGTTCAACTGAAAATGCAAGTGACAAAACAAAATAAAAAATAAAGGGCAGATGATTTTTAAATTTAAAGATGAGAAGTAAAACATTGATATTATTCAATCTTTTATATACATCCATTAGAGACAAACTCAACAACAACATTTGTACTAACACATTTAGCTTTAAAAAATATGCATTCAATTCATAATAACTTCTCCAACTCTTGATAAGTTTAAAAGATCAGCTAACATATTTTTACTATGTAAATAGCTGATTTTCTATCTTCTCATCCTTTCATAGCTGTATCCTGAACTACACTGATGCCTTTGGTGGTGTAAATTATGATTTTTTCAGTGTAGATCTTTATATGGGTTAACAGAAAATAATAATAATAAAAATAATAATAACAAAATAACAACAATAATAATAATGATAATAATAATACTCATCATCATCATCATCATCATCATAATAATAATAATAATAAAATAAACTGTATCGAAATACATGATTACATATATAATCTACAATGTAGTCTCTGTTGATATATTTCTTTGTAATCTTGATTTGAATACATCTTTTGAAGATACATTTGTACATGGACCTCCTGTATCAAATAACCTGGTGGCTGAAAGGTCCATTCCTGGCAAGTAAGAAAATGCCATGAAAAAATAATTCAGGAACTGAATCATGTGCTTTGTGCACAGTCAGTCATTTCAGTGCAAAATTAGAAATTCATGAAACATACATACATACATACATAAAAAAAAAAAAAAAAAAAAAAAGTTAAAGAGAGGCTTTACACTTAGTTCTCAGAGGCCCTATCTCCTCAGTGACTGCAGTCAGGGCCAATCAAGTGAACAAATGTTTAGCATTTAGAACTTACAGCAGGCTTGACTGTATACATGGTTCACCAAGTGCCTGAGCAGATCGTAACAAAATCACAAAGATTACATTGTTAATCTACAGTGGGCCGAACTTATATGCATTTCAAACATATTGTCTCTCCCACTTCAAAAATTTCAATTCCCAAGGCTATGATCTTACACCGTAAGTGCTCCACAAACAACAACAACTTAAAACAGGAATAAATCAATCTTACCAGAATATGAATCAACATTTATTAGAATTTCTCCAAGAGCAAAAGGTGTGAAGGTCAGCAACTGTGGGACTTTTGCTCATATTCTGAGACACTTTGGACACCTTGTATGGAAAGCTTCTTGTATCTCCAGAACAGTTGGACCTGAAGTTTCAGCATCTTGTACCACAAGCCAATTACCTTCGAGCTGCCTCATGTTTCAACCAATTGTAGCTGATCAGGATTCTGCCGCCACTCTGGTAGAGGTCTACATTTCCTGCCCACTGCCTAAAATGGTGTCCAAATTATCTCTGAATATGACCATTCATCTCAGAAGGTGGATCTTGCTTCAAATATCCCTTACAATTCTGCCTCAACAATAAAATTAGTGAAGATATTTTTAAAAAGCTCTCCAAAATATACTCTTAAAATACCAAAACTATTGTTTTCATCCATAAAATCAATGAAAGGTCCCCAAACTCAATAGTGAAAACAATCAATTAATTATAAAAAGCAATATATTCCTTACTAACCCTTCTTATATTTGTCTCCTTTTTATCAATATTTTTTTTTCTAATCAAAATCATTAATCCGTTGTCTCCACTCTACCGTATGTCCGGTTTCCCAAGCTTCCATCTCTCGCACAACCTTATTTCGTAGCCAGATAATCACTTACATCTTAAACTGATCAAAATCCCACACAACATAAATAAAATGCCGAAAAAACGCCACCTGACGTGTAATAACTGTAAATAAATGACCTTAATCAGCTGGCCCTTCCATGGCCCTTGACAGCTCTACCAATTTTATTTCCGGTTTGCGCACTGGAGACGGACAATTTTGTTGAGACTTCTTTTTTAAATACTCCTTTGAATGCGAATAATTTCCATTCATATACTACAGAGTATTATCTTTATACGAAAATGATAAACCAAATTGAAAAGTTACACGAACTATGAAGTGCCAGATTTATAAAAATCAATTGTTTGAATCGAGTATAGAGAGAACAGAGTAAACATTGTCCGAAACCATTACTTTATGCATAAAACTTATCCTTGAATAAATTTCATTTACTTCTGATAAGGCCAAAAAATCAACACGAAAATAAATATGTGCATTATCTCACATTTGGGTCATACAATATCCATCAGTTACCGAAGATGTGTAACGAGATTCAATAATCAATCTTCAAAACATTTTTTTCTCTTAATTCACTATAAAACTCATGTAATAGCCTGCAGAAACACACCGACCTTTTTGGCATATCTTGTAACTTCCTATACAAACGTTTTTAGTTTGTGTCTATGTTTATAGACCACCTCCGTAAAACGACAAAGAAAAAGCTTTTATAGACAATATCTTAGGTATACGATGACAGGAAAATAACGAAAGCAGAGTATGCAGAATATGAAGTCCACCTTTTTTTTTAAAGATGAACTGTACAAGAGCAGTAATTATGTGAAAATATTTAGCTTCGCCAGAGAAAGGAGGGGCAGAAGTGTGAATGTGAGTGGAAGTGTGAGTGAGTGAGATTGTGTGTGTAAATGTGAGTGTGAGTGAATGAGTGTGTTTGTTGTGTTGTGTTTGTGTGTGTGTGTGTGTGTGTGTGTGTGTGCGTGAAACGGATATATATATATGATACACAACACCACACACACACACACACACACAATCTCACTCACTCACAGAGAGAGAGAGAGAGAGAGAGAGAGAGAGAGAGAGAGAGAGAGAGAGAGAGAGAAGAGAGAGAGAGGAGAGAGAGAGAGAGAGAGAGAGAGAGAGAGAGAGAGAGAGAGAGAGAGAGAGAGAGAGAGAAGAGAGAGAGAGAGAGAGAGAGAGAGAGAGAGAGAGAGAGAGAGAGAGAGAGAGAGAGAGAGAGAGAGAGAGAGAGAGAGAGAGAGAGAGAGAGAGAGAGAGAGAGAGAGAGAGAGAGAGAGAGAGAGAGAGAGAGAGAGAGAGAGAGAGAGAGAGAGAGAGAGAGAGAGAGAGAGAGAGAGAGAGAGAGAGAGAGAGAGAGAGAGAGAGAGAGAGAGAGAGAGAGAGAGAGAGAGAAAGAGAGAGAGAGACTACATGTCGCTAAACTACAAAGGATATGATACGAAAAATGGATAGCCGCGTGTATAGTCCAATCACAACATACTTCCCCACAAACTTTTCGTAATTACACCTCATTCAGTATCCAGAATTACTCCACAACACTACAGGGGAAGCCATCCAAAATCAACAGAGAGCGACAACATTAGGCTGATTAGGACTGTGGGCAAAAGTTCAATGAAATAACCTCTCCAATGCAGCTCTTACTCAGACTTATCCAGAAAAGGCACAAAAGGAAATAAACCGAGACAAATCCAAATTGTTAGCTAGCATGGCGCGGGGCAGAAGTCGCTGTCTATGTTATTAGGCATATTCGTCGAGGATGTGGAGCGCTGGTGTAAACTGATGCTACTCTCGTCAATGGAAAAACAGTGATTTTATACAATAACGATGTTAATAACCAATAAAACTAACGATGATAATAATGATCACCCTCAGTAACAGTGAGAATAATAATAGCAATAACAGCCAAAATAACTAAACTTAAGCGATATGAACAGCTTAAATGAACACATATTTTGAACAATCAGAAGCTAAGAATGTGGAGCATGGCAGGTCACTACAGCGAGGTTGGCATGAACAAGGTCTATATAAGTACTTATATAGACCTTGGGCATGAAAAGTTAACATGGGGCGTCTTCTGTACGTGCCATAAAAGTTAATCCGGTATTAAAGTTTAATCCAGATCTCGTGCGCATGCGCGTTGGCAACGTCCAGGATCAACTTTTAATGTACCTTTTAATGTACCAGGCTTTAATATTAAGCTCATTTTTAAATCCTGTACATACGCAGAAGGGACAAGGTAATCCCACCAATCATTTATTGTTATGTCATGTGTCCGTCATGAACTTCATGGGTGCCATCGCTTGTTACCATTCAGAGTTATTTTTGGCAATAACATCGATCGTCTTAGAATTTTCATACTTAGTATTTATTATGAAAAATGAACGTATATATTTACACAAATGATAAAAAAAAATCTCATAAAGGAAATAACTTATGGCAATGAATATAAAAAAACAATATAATCCCACGAGGAATCTTTGAAGTTCAGAGGCTGCGGGCATGGAACTCATATTTCCAGGTTAGTCAAACAAAAATTATATGGCCAGAGTCACTCAAGTTGACGTTTTGAATCAAATATGAACCAGTGTTTTAAAGAAGAATTACGTGTAGTTGAGTTTTTCTCAACTTCT